GAAGAGTGGGAAACCTGCGAAGAGGATTGTGACTCTGGCCATGTTCAAGGCAAGAGATCTACTGCTTGGTTTCATGACGAGAAGAGCTGGGGATAAGAACCTAAGAGCCCTGCTGGATCAGACCAATAGTCTATCTAGTCCAGCATCCTGTGTCACACAGTGGCCATCAACAGGGCATAGAAGCCGAGGCCTTCCCCTGATGCTGCCTCTTGGCCCTAAGCCTCTGAATGTGGAGGTTCCCCTCCTTCACCATGGCTAGTAGCCACTGATAGACTTATCCTCCATGAATCCATCTAATCCCCTTTGAAAGCTGCTTATTCCTGTGGCCATCACAACATCCTCTGGTAGCGAATTCCACATTTCAGTCATTCTCTGTGTAAAGTAGTATTTCCTTTTGTCTACCCTGAACCCTACTGCCCATCAGCTTAATTGGATGCCCTGGAGTATTTTGGTAGAGGGAGAAAAAGTTTTTTACCCTCCTCCACTCAAGGACCCAAATGTTATTTATATTTTGTAGACTGGTGTTTAAGATTATATTGTGCTAGGGAATCTCTGCACGAAGATGAGCGAATAGCATCGTATTAGTGAAGGTGTAAAGATTCTCTAATGAGATACTAAAAGCGTCTTTGCCTTTGAGTGAGAATTTCACCATCACCCCTAATACCTTGCATTTTTTACAGCGGTTTGAATGCCTGTCTGTTCCCCACCCCCCCATCCCCAGTGGGAGATAAAAGCAGGTCCCAGGTGGCTTTTTCCAGTGAGAAAATATCTCGGGAAGAAAGGGTTAAAGTCTTCCCTTTCCTCCTATGCCGCTCTCTTCCTTGACAGAGCAGGCTTGGCTGCTAAATTCACAAAAGGGGGAAAATGTTCAAAATAACCACAGTAGAAGTTATAATAATTGGTAAGAACAGATACTACACTTGATCTTAGTCTATAAAGAGTGAATACTATGAAGGAGAAAAGGGAAGATGTTTAGTGAAGTATGAAGGACATATTACTCTGTGTTGTTAGGAAGAGCATGTGATGTACAAGGAGTTTGTATGTGTGTAATTATGTTGATGAATTTTGTGTATGCATATGATATAGGCTTATAAAACCAAATAAATAAATTCATTAAAAAAAGAAGTTATAATAATATGTAGTTGAGCACTTAGGGGGTATGTTGCTCAGGGTAAGGACTCATCTTCTTGCACTCCATAAAGCCAGCTTCCCTTCCCTTCCCCATGGGGAACCAAAGCAGCTTATATCCTTCTTCTCTCCTCCATTTAATCTTCACAACAATCCTGCTAGGTAGGCAAGACTGAGAGTGTGCGATTGGCCCAAGTTCACCCTAGTGACCCTAGAGAGCCAGTTTGGTGTCGTGGTTAAGTGCGCGGACTCTAATCTGGGAGAACCGGGTTGGATTCCCCACTCCTCCACTCGCAGCTGCTGGATGACCTTGGGCAAGCCATAGTTCTGTCAGAGCTGTCCTTGAAAGAGCAGTGTCTGTCAGAGCTCTCTCAGCCCCGCCTACCTCACGGGGTGTCTGTTGTGGGGAGGGGAAGGGAAAGGAATTTGTAAGCCACTCTGAGACTCCGAGTGAAGGGCAGGGTATAAATCCAATCTCTCCTCCCTCTCTTTTAGTGAGCTTTCACGGTAGAGAAAGGATTCGAGCCTGGGTCCCCCGGATCCTGTTTCAGCACACTAACCACAGGCTCTCACATATTTATATAAATTACTGCTGCTACTACTAATATGGTCAATGACAGGATACCTGACTCAAATGACTCTTTGTTTCCTGGACCAGTCAAGAGAAACGAACAGAAAACCCTGGCCTGGATCGCTCAGACAAGCCAGATCTCGTCAGATCTCGGAAGCTAAGCACGGTCGACTCTGGCAAGTACTTGGATGGGAGACCTCCAAGGAATACCAGGGTTCGGAGGCAGAGGCAGGCAATAGCAAGCCCACCTCTCTGAAACATCCAAGCCCCACTAGGGGTCGCCAGAAGTCAACCGTGACTTCCAGGCACACACACACATACACACGCAATACTCACAAATAAAGAAAGAGATACAAAGAGAGGAGCCAGGGAAGAGTTTCCCTTCCTTGACAGTCGGGGCGCATCTCTGCAGAACGTTCCACCACGTCCGTTTCATTCTTTTTCCTCCCCCAGGCCTACATCAAGGAAGCCCTCCCCGAATCGATGACCGTCAGGCTCTTCGACGGGATGAAAAGCGTCCAAGTGTCCGAGAAGCCCTCTGGCCCCAGCGACCAGGTGGAGAAGGAGCAGTTTCTGGTTTTCATGGCCGCACTCACCAAAGGCTACGCAGAGGAGAAGAGCGACATTATCATGAGAATGATATCGAAGGCGTACAGGACGGTGAAGGGGAGCCAGATCCTGGAGGTAAAGAGAAGGAGGAGGCCTGGGAGGGTAAAGGGGGGGGCTGGCTTGGGGGGTGTGGAGTGGGGCAAGTTCAGGGATCTTCTCGTTATCTGAGCAGACGCAAAGGTTGTGTTAAGCGAAAGGTCAGGGAGACTTTTAATAGACACGGTAATGTCTGAGAAGTCAGAAACGGACGCTCCTTCCTCTCCGTTCTGCTGGGTTCGCCCAAGCAGACTGGAAGAGGAAGAAGAGATTGAATTTATACCCTACCCTTCACTTCCCGAAGGAGTCTCAGAGCATCTTACAATCTCCTTTCCCTTCCCCTCCCCACAACAGACACCCTGTGAGGTAGGCGGGGCTGAGAGAGCGCTGACAGAAACTGCTCTTGAGAGAACAGGCTCTGAGAGAACTTGTGACTGACCCAATGTCACACCAGCAGCTGCACGTGGAGGCGTGGGGAATCAAACCCGGTCCTCCCAGATTAGAGTGTGCGCTCCTAACCACTGTACCAAGCTGGCTCTCCAGTCACCCTCTTTTCTGTCCAAGTGGTAGAAGATTTTCTTTTTTAAAAATTGCTGCAATCCTGCCCTGACCTACTCAAATCTATTGAGATTGACTGGAATAACTCCGCATAGAATTGCACTGACTATGATGTATTTGATGCTGGTCTTAGAATGGTTTAGCATCTTATGTATCGCGCTGGCTTTAAATGATGTGACGCTGTCAGGGGTCATTTCATAGACAAAGAGGTGCAGGAGCTCATTAGCATAGCTCATTAGCATAAATTATTTGCATATGCCACACCCCCTGACATCACCGAAAGTGTGTCAGAAGGCAACATCCACCGCTCAGGCTCCACTGGACTGTATTGGAGGGAGGAAGGAATGTGCAGATCTGTCCTCACAGAGGTGGAAGAGCTTGTACCTGAATAAAACTTGGTCTTAAAGGTGCCACTGGACTGTTTTGGACCGGCCCCCCCGGGGGGGGGGCTCTGCAGCTTTCCTGTCTGCTTCTTGCAGACAGCCCTCTGACTGAGGGCTGCTGGGAGCAGGGGGAGGGGCTTGTTGCATGTGCCTGCCCCCTGGGCTCTTTACTGCCGGAGCTCCGCTCCTGTGCGCTCCTGCAGGAAATGACCCCTGGACGCTGTATGTGTTTTAATGTTACAAATGCATAAATGGGGTTGCCAGCGATGCTCCCTCTAAGCTGCCGAGTCTGGCGAGCAAAAATTCTGCTTTATGAGCTACTGGCATTGAAGTTGTGAGCGAGCGACTTGGCTGCTGCATAGATCAGTTTGCTCCGGAGCCCTCCTTCCTGAGCGGAGACAAAAATGCGTGAGCTGGAGGGCTAGCCTAGCTTAGAGGGAACACGGGTTACCAGCCTCCAGGTGGGACCCAGAGATCTCGCAGGATTACAACTGATCTCCAGGTGACAGAGATCAGGTCCCCTGGAGAAAATGGCTGCTTTGAAGGGTGGACTTTATGGAATTAAATCCCACGGAGGTCCCTCCCCTTCCTAGGCTCCACCCCCAAATCTCCAGGAACTTCCCAACCTGAAGTTGGCAACTGTAGGCATAGAAGAGTTGTAATTCAGAGCTGTCGTATGCAGGGGTCCTTTCCTGCAGGAGCACACAGGAGCGGAGCTCCGGCGGTAAAGAGCCCAGGGGGCGGGCACATGCAACAAGCCCCACCCCCTGCTCCCAGCAGCCCCAGGCCACAAGGAGCAAGAAGCAGCCAGGTAAGTTGCAGAGCCCCCCCCCCCTCGGTCCAAAACAGCCCAGTGGCACCTTTAAGACCAAGTTTTATTCAGGTACAAGCTCTCCCTCCTCTGTGAGGACAGATCTGTATGTTCCCTCCCCCACAATAGCTAGCAATCCAAAAGAGTCCAGTGGAGCCTGAGCGGTGGGTGTTGCCTTCTGAGACACTTCCGGTGATGTCAGGGGGTGTGGCATATGCAAATGAGTTATGCAAATGAGCTCCTGCATCTCTTTTTCTACGAAATGACTCGTATGTACATGTGTTTAAAAAGGGAGCTTGGGGAAGCAGAAGTAAGTGGAGCTGTCTCAAGGTCCCTGGTGTGGTGTTGGTGCACTTTGCTCATTTTCAGGCATTGCTTCTGTTTACTGTAAACACCGACTTCCCACGGGTGGTACTTTAAGCGTGCCAAAGGCACAGGGATGATTGCAAATGGGAGCTCTAGCAGAGCTCCCGGATACCTTTCTTTCCGAACATTTTAAAACCTGCGATGCTTGCAGAAGCTCAAAGCAGCTTTGCAGAAAACCATGCCGATAAAATATCCCTGCAGTAAATTAGCACTGGAATTTTTTATCTCGTGGATATTTATGAGAACTTGTTTGCAGTCCTCTGATCTGAACGAATAAAGGGGAGGGGAAGGTTGGACCACATAAACTCGATTACAGACTGACCAGTCTGGGCAAAGGGATACACACTGTGTTAAAAACCTGCAATGCTTGCAGAAGCTCAAAGCAGCTTTGCAGAAAACCATGCCGATAAAATATCCCTGCAGTAAATTAGCACTGGAAATTTTTCTCTCGTGGATATTTACGAGAACTTGTTTGCAGTCCTCTGGTCTGAACAAATGAAGGTGAGGGAAGGTAGGACCACATAAACTCGATTACAGACTGATCAGTCTGGGCAAAGGGATATACACTGTGATCCTAAGCAGAGTTAACCGTCTCGTAAGCCCATTGACTCTGAACTCAGTTTGGGATTGTACTGGCAGTTACTCGGAACCCCCCCCCCCCCAAAAACAAGGTGCTTCACCAAGATGTAGGGGGAAACGTCAGCCAAGAAACAGAACGCATTTGGATTGGAGGCTGGACATAAACGTCATTTTGGAATTTACTTATCACTTTACCTCCGGGAAAGTTTTACGAGAACTGAGAGTTACGCAAACAGAACATTAGTTATTTATTGCTTATTTTAAAGTACTACTGTATATGGTAAGCTGGTTTAACAGAAGAAAAGATTATGGTAAATCTGTCCCCCCCTCCTTTTAAAGCGGGGGGAATTTGGCCCCAGGCAAGGGTGGGCACATCAGTCTTAACAAGCAGCAGGACTTTTCAGTGTCTGCTTATGATCCGATCCTTTTCCTTCCAAGAGACTAATGCAGAGCAAGAGTCAAGTAGCACCTTAAAGCAGGGGTGTCGAACGCATTTGTTATGAGGGCCAGATGTGACATTAATGAGACCTTGTTGGGCCGGGCCGGGCGTGTCATAAAATGTAATGCCAGGTAGCAGAGATATATAAACTTTATAAAGGACACAAAGGGTTTTTTTAATTAAAATAAGATAATGCTTAAAACATTCGCACTCTTGCAATATTTTGTTTATTTAACAGTGCCTGATAACTGACACCTCTTGCTCTGAATTATTGCAGCAAAATGTCTGTGCTGTTTGCAATCCTGAGTATGCAGTTCAGGTGTGTATCTGTAAGCTGCAAACCTATGATGATGCGACAGCAGCAGAACTAGAAGAAGAAGCAGAAGACAGCCAGTTCCCTCTGCAGGCCTGATAGAAGTCCTCTGGGGGCCTGATCCAGCCCCCGGGCTGCATGTTTGACACCCGTGCCTTAAAGACTCTCATTAGTTTTAAGTCTGACTCCTGGTTCTGTGTAACCTAATAAGTCTGCTAGCACACAGTACCAGTTTGGTGTAGTGGTTAGGAGCGTGGACTCTAAATTGGGAGAACCGGGTTTGATTCCCCACTCCTCTGCATGCAGCCAGCTGGGTGACCTTGTGTCAGTCACAGTTCTGTCAGAGCAGTTCTCTCCAGAGCAGTTCTCTTAGAGCTCTCTCAGCCCCACCTACCTCACAGGGTGTCTTTTGTGGGGAGGGGGAGGGAAGGGAAAGGAGATTGTAAACTGCTCTGAGACGCTTTGGGTAGTGAAAGGCAGCGTATAAATCCAATCTCCTCCTCCTCCTTCCTTTGCTGTATGGTAAGCTTAATGCACTCTGTAAGCTTTTTTTTTATATATAGAAAATTTTATTTTGTTTCCAAGTTTACCTTTATACATTCTCATGACAACTCTCCTATCCAATTGTACACTTTTCCCCATCTCTTCTCATGTACCTTTTCATTCCTGTTCTGCAACATTAAACTCAAATCGTCCATTCGTGCTAACTCCAGTATTTTAACTGCTAACTCTTCCCTCTTGGGTATAACCTCGGATTTCCAATTTTTGGCCAATAGCAGTCTAGCGGCGGTTATTATATAGCCTAATACGTATGATTCTTGCTTATTATAACCTTTCGGGATCATATTTAACAAATATATTTCCGGTTTTAAAGCTAAATTTCCCCCCAGGATTTCAATGCACTCTGTACGCTTAATGCACTTTGCTACATTGACAGAAGCAGAAAGTCCCACACAAATGAGGTGGCAGCAGTGACTCGTATCGTGTTACTAGTCCCTGTTGCCCTCCTTTAGTATGTGCTAATTTATGATCTTGCGAGAAGGCCGGTTTTGTTTCCCACCTCTGGGATTTCATACAGAGAAACTTTCTTTTTTCTCGAAGTTTGCAGAAGACCTGGTTGGCTCCCTGGTCCACGTTTTGAAGTACCGGAAGGAGCTGAAGGGCTGGAGCCTGCAGAATACCCGAGACCCAGCAGCCGGCATCAAAGCCTTGGCTTCCCAGTTGGTGTCTGAACTGAAACTGGCAGGTGAGTTGCGGACCGAGGTGCTTTCAGTTTTGGACCGGGACAAGCAGCTAACACTAAAGCAACTAAGGCCCTGGGGCACACGGGCCGGATATCGCGGGGGGGAGGCGTGGCTGTTTGCCCCGCAGCGAAATAACACGCGACTGCGCGATCAGGCGTCCCCTCGCGGTCCCGTCGAGGTCCCGTGGTTAGGGGGGAGGTGCCAATCACACGACGTGCCAAAGAAGCGGTGCGGCACGGCAAACGGGGTTGTGTTCTTGTTGTTTTTTAAACCTGAAGTATGCACATGCCCCATTGGGTGCTTGTGCGCATCCTTGGAGACTTCGGGGGGAAAAAACCCTTTTCGCAATGGGGCATGGGCGGGCGCTGGATGCCACCGGAAACGTGATCAGAGACCCCGGCCCTTGCCCCGCGGTGTCCAGAAACTAGTACCTCCGAGGTACTAGTTTTTAACCGCGCATCTTCGGAGGGAAGACTCGGGTTCGACACGGGAGCTCTACGCTTCCCAGATGTGGCAGTGAGATCGCGCCCGGAAAATCCGCCTGTCTTCCATCGCAGTAGCATGGCTACTGCTCCGTGTGACCGCAGCCTATCTTTCTTTTTCCTTTTCTTTTCCAAAACTAGAAGAAAATAAGGAAAGGGAAGCTATAAACTACAGGAGAAAGTAAAGAT